TCTCCAAAACGAGCGTTTCGTACGAGACTTCCTCCAAAAGTGAAGCGGCAAGTCTCCCTCTCGCCTGCATTTCGCTCACTCGACACGCGCGATCTCCGCAGAGGGTTGCGCGCGTGGGACAAATCGCACTCTCGCCTGCGCTTCGCGCGCTCGACGCGCACGATCTCCGCAGAGGGTTGCGCGCGCGTGCGACAAATCGCACTCTCGCGTGCATTCGCGCGATCTCCGCAGAGGGTTGCATTTTCGGTTGTCGCTGTTCGTCCCACCCTCCGCCTTTAAAGAGAATTTATAAAGTGGGGGAATGTTTTTCATAAGGATATCTCCCGTGAAATAGACTTTCATGCTTATGCTTACACTTGCACACTTACACTTGCATGCTTACACTTGGATACTTACACTTGCACACTTGCACTTGGATGCTTTCACTTGCAAGCTTTCACTTGGACACTTCAGTGCCATTGTAAGTATAGAAGTGTAAACTTCTAGTGTAAGTATAGAAGTGCATGTGTTCAAATGTAAGTATAGAAGTGTAAGTGTTCAAAAAATTTTCCGGAAGAACCCTTCGGTGCTTTATTGAAAAAGACAAATTAAAGGTAAAGGAAGGGGAGGGCACGCCGGGGTTTTCGGAAAGGGTGTTTTTTGTCGTTCCTCCTTCAAGCAACTCACCGCGAACTGTTCCCCTTGTTCCAAACATCTTCGTTTCAACCACGATGACTCGAGACTTTTTCTAGCTGAACTCAAAGCGCTGGTTCGCAACTCATGAATCTTGCTCTCATCATGTGTTGTCGTGTGTGTGCTCTCGCAGATTTGCTCTCTTATGTGTTCTCTCATTTACCTGGCTCTCAGTTGTGCGCTTTCATGCGTTTGCTCACATATGTGTGCTCACATTTGTGTTCTCTCCTGTTTGCGCTCTAGACTCTAGACTACACTCTAGCGGGCAGACATTTGCTTATTCGCCCTTGTTTTGGTCTACTTACCACGCTTTGGGGTCTCTTGCTGGGATAACTTATTGTTCAGAAACTGTTTAGTCGCAAGTAAGATGGTTTTCTTGGAGATATAGGTCAAATGCAAAGAAAACTCTCCAGGTCCAAGTCGCTGCACTTGCTAATCCCAAAGCCGGTATGGCAAAGGCTTTTTGTGCCTTAGATCTCACTAGAAGCATTGGCTTTCTGAGGCGCCTTCATATCAGGTAGACCCACCAGACCCAACTATGTTGTCACGTGTAGCACTCAGGTGAGATGAACTCCCAGTCGGTGGCCCTACTAAAGTCTCCGTGCCCAACAGTATGCAGCAGTTTTGCTGTTCCAGAATTCCAGACGCAAGCAACCAGACATTAGGTCATTAGGAACATCACAACCCAATATGTTCGTTCGACCTACTCGGCAAGGTACTTTTGGGCCATCATTGCGGCTCAGCTTTGAAGCTCTTGAAAGGAAAACTCTTGAACTCCGGAGTTGAGTTTGCCGCATTTGTCACACTGTCATACTGTATGTTGTGCGCAATGCCTGAATTCCTGAGGAATGGGAGATGTTTCCTGCTCTCACCCGAGGCTGGGATTGCTGCGAGCTGTGCATGGCACAAACAGCCAACCAACAAATTTCCATTTGGTCGCATGCTATGACTCTTGAGAAAGTGAGAGGTGCCAAGCTGGTAGTTGCTTCGTCCAACGGCCACAAGAGCTTGGAGCTCAGATCTCACGTCAGGTTACGCAGAGATGTGGAATACGCATATTAAGTTGGAGGCCATCGCTATTAGGTCTTTCTTTGAGGTCCGGAGTACTTGACCAATACAATTGCGGCTGAAGAGGTGGAAGAACTGGAGTGCACTGTGAGGAGTTTTCGGATTTTGGAGCAATGAAACCATGGCAACAAAAAGAGAACAAAACAATGGTAAGGTCCCTTTAAAGGGGCCCTAGTCATTTTTGCTCTTCTTTCTTTTTCTAAAAGACATTTATTTCCATTTCAATTCTCCATGTGGAATTGCCTGTAGGTGAGCGTCTTGATGATTACCCCTCAGGCCTCTCACGTCCTTCTTTAGATGACAGGCGATCGGACCAGAAGATGCAGATCCTTTCTTGCCAGGTCATGGACTTGGTGCTTGACGTCCACGACTCCCAAGGAAATGCCCGCCCTCTGCGCTCTGCCTGTGGCCTAAGAGTTTCTTTGAGAGTGCAGACAAGAAGTTTTGACTGCTCGCAGTTTCTCTTTGCTTCCTTTGCAGCCTTTTTGGCTTCAATCTCCGGTGAGTAATGCCATGGAACGAACTGGCGAGATTGAAGTAGATCCTCCTGAGCTTGTTACCAACAAGCACGGAACCAAGGTTGAGTGGGTTAGAGAACAATGTCGGGGCATTGAAGTTGCACAGTATTGTCATTAGTCATTTAGTCAATTCTTGGTTCAAGTTGACTAGGCCAGCGCCAGATCCAAAACGAACAGAAACAGCAGGTCAGCAGGATTCTCTAAAATCTAGGCCTGTAGCTTCCTAATTATATAGCTACCAAGCCTATATTGTACACCTTACCAAGCCTTATTACGAACTACTTAAGCTACCTCTTGGCCTACCCCCTTTAAAAACTCATGACGTTTTGAGGCAGGCTAGGGACGGCTGCAGGCTAGTGACAGCCAGTGAGGTGGGAAGTTCTACCAAGGCCAGTGCTGGACGCCTTTCACTTTCTCATCACCAGACCGTTTTGCAATGCTTGCTTGCTGATTCACATCTTCCTCCTTACTACATGCATTTCTACTTCATATTACCCAGCTCCTTGCTTGCAGACAAGGCCACCGAGCTTTTCAACGGCAGACTCCTGTGTTGGCATTGGTGCTCATTGACCTAGGGTAAGCCTAAGCTGTGACTCAGGCAATGAAGCAAGAGTCAGTGAATTTGGAGCCCTACAACACAAGGCTGACAGCTATAATTTTCAGGTTTCGTTTGGTTTGCCTGTTGTTTGACATGGAAGAAAGGGGTTGGCATTAGCATACAGAAATAGGCTTGGTGACAAAAGTTACGTGAATGTGAGCACGCAAACATGTTATAGTATAGTTTGATTTTTCAGTGCCCCCTGCATTCCTTTTCAGACTGAAGAGTGTGGTGGAGTCATTGCAACATGACTTTGATACCGAAGAGGGCATGCTGACTGACCTTATCCTGATTTGGAGTACACAACGAAGAGATGCTTTGTTGAATCGAGACCAGGACTTCCTGGATCTTCAGCAAGACATTCAGAACCATCTCTCTCACTTGCAAGGCAACAAAAGGAGCTGCAAGAACCTGACCTGGGCAGATCCAAACTTTGCACCCAGCAATGATGCTGCTCTGATTCAGCTTGATATGAAAATCAAAGCTTCCTTTGGCCATCGAAATCAGTGTTTGTACACGATTCGAAAGTATGTAGACAGTTTGGATCACAAAATGAGTGGGCACTTGAAGTTGGCAATGGCTGGTCCCCACTCTGTGGTGGATGCCTCATACGATGAGTGTGATGAGGGGACCATGCGCCATTTGCTGTTGAGCACACCTTTCTTGGCAGCCCTACTCATAATGGGTGTTGGCACAATTCCAAGGGCACTGACTCCTTTCCTGTGCCTTGCCGGTAGCGTGCAAGCGTCTCGGTGCGCAATAGTACTTCTCAAAAGCCTTTGGGAGGACCTGAACATGGTGGGTCCAGACACCCAAATCCTCTTTGTGCAGCTGGCCCTTTGCTTTGACTATGCTCTCTTCTTTTGGGTGCGCTTCTCTCAGGAGAGACAGCAGAGACCCGGCAACATCGATGCGCAAAGCATTTTGATGAGGACCTTGCAAACATCAGGGTTTGTTATATTCATCAGCACTATGGTTTTAGTAGTTGCTTTCCTGGGTGCAAGCTGCTATCCGGACCTGAACAAGCTGGGGTATCTTTATGCTACCTTGAACCTGGCTCTGGGCACTCTTTTTGTCGGCTTTTACAGCCTAACGGTGCCCACAGTGCTGGCCTCCATTTGGCCAAACCTTTTCGATGATCCTAAAGGTAGCTTTCTTCAGGACGGCCTTCAAGGAATCTCACGCTTTGTCAAGGCAAGGGTTTTTCGCCCAGTGGGCTATGTGGCATCATCAAAGCCTTTGAACTACCTGGCAACAGTCTTGGTCCTGGCAACCTTCGGACCTTTGATCCTCAACATGTTGCGATTGGAGCCCAACTATGACTACACGGAGACGGACTTTTCAACCAGTGTGCGCGAGTACGATGCCTACAACATGGTGAATCGTAAATTCGATTTGCAAGACATGCATAAGATGACTGTTTTCATGGAAGCTTCCCCGGCTCTTCGAGACCACTTTTCAAAGTTGTCCAGTGAAAGCGGAGACCAAATGGATTTGGCCTTTCACAAAGCTGCATGCCTTGTTGCGCGGACCATATCCATGGATAAGGTCTGCAAGTCAATGGGGATTCCCGACAAGATTTTGTCAATCGACTGGGATGCTGCAGACAAATCCTGTTTGAATTCAATCCAACACATCCCAGGGGATGAACGGTACCGAGCGCGAAACCACACCAAAGAGCGCATGTTCTTGTTTCCAGAAATTGATGATTTGCAAGGCAAAGATGTGCAGAAGCTGGTGAGGCACTTCTGGAGAACTATTGAGCCTGAGGTGGCCATCCGGAATGGCGAGAGAATGCTCTTCTCTGCAACGTTGTACACACCCGTTGCAGAAGATATGCTTCTGGAGCAGCAGTACAGGCATGCTGCACCATGGATTGTGGGTGTTACCATTTTCATCGTTTGTTTCATGGTCGGCTGGCTCTTCAAGTCATACTTTGTTGCAGTGAAAATGGTGGGAGTCTCAGTGCGTGGAAAACATCTGAAGCACATGTCTCTCAGTCTTATAGCAACCTACTAGCAATGGCCTCCAACCTAATAGCG